AGGTCCAAATAATCCCGCAAACAGAGGGGATAAGAATGTCATACACATTTGTTGATTGATTAGCAATAAATCTTGTAAGAACTAAGATTTTTTAATACCAAATGGTTTTTAAATATAATGACTTTAGTAAGTCATTATACAAAGAAAACACTACAATGCTCTTTTAACATCCATTTTTCAAACTGGGGCTTTTTGATAGAAGTATAAGAACATACTGCCAGTGGAAATTTTGACATGTTATTCCGATTAAGTTGAAATAAGACTTAGTCGTCATAAGCCAACTTAAGGCTTCATTATGTTAAAATAAAATCAATTTCAGGAACCGAAATAATGGACTTTGAAACTAACACTGTTTAAACCTATTAATATATTTTTGTTCCAATTTAAATTTTTTGAAGGCAACTTGTTAAATACAGACCATGTTTTTTGAATTTAATGGTTATACTAGATGAGTATTTTATTTACGATAACTTAATAGTCGAAAGTACTAGGCCACATATTTAATGATATATGTTTAAATTAAATTATTTATAGTTATTTATAGTTTTTATGAACTAAAGCTTTTTGATTTCATTTTTTTTCCAGTAATTTTGATTACAATTCATAGGCGTACATGAATAATAAGAGAATATATCTGGTATGTATTTTAAGATTAAAAATAAAACATTGAAAATTATATACATATAGCAGGTTATATAGCAGGTTCTCATTGACTTCATTGAAACAGTTTATTTAATTTAGATCGCTCTTGAAATTTTATTAACCAAACCAAAAGTTTTCGTGCTTTTTAACTTAATTAAGAATAAATCAAGGGAAATTATGCCAAAATTTGCAATTACAACATTGCAAAATATATTTACCAAGAGTGAAATGATCGAAATTTGACAAATTTGACACATGTAATAACATTTTGTTACATGTAATTACAAGTCAAACAAACAAGATGTAAGAGTTTTTTGAAAATGTTTATTTTTTACAAGTAAATATTATGTACAAATTTTTTTGCATTTTTCTGCGTTTTCCATTATTAAATAATTTATTTCTGCTAACAATACAAACTTAATATTATAAGACAACAATTGAAATGTGAACAAACAAAAGCTCTTCAAGAGCTTTCACAGAACTTGCTGACACCTTAAAACACTTTTACATGCATAAATCAACTTACGCCAATAGAAACAACCTAAACTTAATATAATTAACCAAAATTGATTTAGCTGCAGTGGGAACATGGTATAAGTTTGACACCGTATAAAACTGTTTAGTATTCATTATACTTTCATAGGAGTTAAAAGTGCATTTAATTTATAAAAAATTAAAACTAAAATAGATATCAATCTTTAATAAAAACATTTTTTAATATTTTTATAAATTAAAAGCACATATACTATCAATATATGAGGCTTAATTAATACTTAATAATAATAAGTTAGCTTCATATTCTTTATTTTTTTTCGATTTAGTTATTCTTATATAAACGTTTTATCAATTAAAATATAATAAATACTATTTCTTTTTAGAATCAAATTTTTCAGTATATCATAAATCAGTTAATTTACCAGTTTTTTATATTGTTTAACTTTTTTACTATGCAAAACTTAAACTGCAAACGAAAACAATTTCTCTTTCTACAATTTCAATTCTGCCACATTAACGAAGTTAACTGGAACCCTACTTTCTGACATGTAGACACTCTTACCTTCAAACATTTTTATTTAATTATTTGCATGAACTTTTGAATTTTAGTTTTTTCACCTTTTTTCTTGAATAAAATGCAGACATCTGCACTATTCGAGGGCGTGTAAGCGCCGACAAGCACGCATGCAACACTGGTAAAAAATGAAATTTAGTAGGCACTCACTCTAGGGTGAGTGTCGGTTTGTCAATACTTGTGCAAATGTTATGCGTTATGCGTTATGCATTAGTAAATATGTATGTATATGAAACGGATAAAAACAACGTAAAAAAGCAACAGCACACATAACACAACACACCATACACACCATACACACCACCAGCAGCAAGCAAATGTGCATTTGAATGCGGAAAATGGAGGTCAAATACGCTCGCCGACTAATGTCACTTGGGCTTAGGGCTTTGGGCTTTGGGCTTTGTATGAGCTCAGTATTTGACTAAATGCCTTTTGCATAATTAAAAATCATGAAAAAGAAAAACATAAATGAAAATAATAAAATCTACTTCGTCAATTAATCAACTGTAAAATGTAAGTTTTTGTTTCATTTTTCTTGATTTGTTTTTGCATTTTTTATTTTTTTTTTTTTTTTTTTTTTATTCTTGGAATTTTAATTGAAACGGGAAGCCACAAAAGAGTCCAACACAATCGTTAACCCCAAACAGCTAGCATATTTAAGCCATTTTAATTATGGTATGAAAACTTATGAATTTTAAAGAGCCAACCGGTGAAAAATGTAGAAGCCTATTGAATTTCAATTATTTAGTATGAAAAATTGAAAACCAATTCTTATTTTCTGAATACAGAGAATATCTGCGGAATACGGCAAGTGGCATGCAAAGTGCGCACAAACCACTTGAGTATTGCAGTGCATGAAGCCCAAAATTAGAATGATGGGTACCGTTTACAGTAGTCGACACTTGGCGACCCTCATTACGCCTTTATCTACGCAATGAAGAATTATTCCGATATTGCACAACTCGACCTTAATAACGTGTAATTGCAAATGACCATTGAATGACGAGTCACTTATTCATTAAGTCATTTCGTCTCTCGGTCATTACGTCATTTACGCAATAATCGCATTATCAAACCATTTGCAAAAATAAACAAATAAGTGGATTGTTCACGGAACCGAAGGTACGACGGACAATTAAATTATCTGTTTGTCTGTTTTTTTTTTTTTGCTATTTCAATTGACAATTCAATATTGACCAATTTTTTTTGTTGAATACTTTATAATTATGTTGATATAAAATTATCTAACAGTAAACAGTAACGGGGACGAGGACGAGGACGGGGATGGGGACATAATTGCTTTTGATTAAATATTAAAATTTTTATTTTGATGGCACATGTGTGAAAAATGAAGCAATTTCTCTAATAAAAAAATTGAATTATAATTAATTGATGGGTTTAGGTAGCAAAGTAAAGTGAATACAACTGAAAAATTTACAAATAAAAGAAATGGGAGGTTTTAGATTCCACCAAGTACTACATACCTACATATAATATGTACACTTTCAAATAAATTCATATATTACTATATAAAATAAAAACATGCAATTATTATTATTATTTAAATAGACTATTTGTGCACCCCGACCTAAAAGATCTATTGTGCGCCTATAGGCTCAACTAGGACAATTTTAGACTATTTATAAATCTTATAATTGCAGTGGGCTTAATTTTACCTATTTAATTTGGGACCAGGATCCCGCTACCAAGGTAATCGAGTCTACGTCTTGCCACCGCTGGGCAGTTGTATAGAACATGTTCTGATGTTTCCTTCTCCTCATGACAGAGTCGACAGGAATCACTTTCTACCGCACCTAAACATGCAATTACTTATGTTTAAAATAAAACGAAGTTTACAACAAAGAAACCAAAAATGTATGATTTCTCTCCGATTAACGCCGGAAATTTTTTATTTGTTTGTTTTTATTTTTTTTTTAAATATTACATAGAATAATAATCTAGGGATCTAGCCAATCGTTTTTCGCAGTATAAACCACACTATGGAACAGACAATTTTCAACGCAGTGGTAATATAATTCAGAAACAATTAAATTTGATATAACCAAAATATATTTTTTATTAAAAACGAAAATGATATGAATCTTATAAAATGTTAACCAATTAAAAAAAATTCAATTCGATCAGCGGATACCGAGGCAACATATGGATAGGTATATTCGTGTTAGATTATCAGAATTTTTTTCCCCGCCTACAATTAGATTAAGAATGCCTAATCTAAAGCACTTTTGCCCCTTACTTTATGATTTAACAGAAGTACTTTTTGTTGTGCTTAGTGTATACCTGTAAATAAAATTTTTCTTATGAGTGTGCGAAACCCGCCCATTACCTATTAAGAAACAGTTCTCCAACTTTTATACAGATTTAAACAAATACACTATTTATAATTTTAACAAGAGATGTTTTCCTTAAATTGATGTTTTCATTACCTATATTTTTCATACCTTAATAATATCACGTACCCGGTAACTCGATAAACAGATAAAGTGTTATACCTATATATATGTTTTTGTAAAAATCTAAAGTTACAGAATTACCAACTAAATTAATTATCGAGGTATCAGATCTAATCATTTTTTCGGTGTTTGGTAAAACATCAGCTAAATTTAATTGACGATTTGAAGAAATTGTAAAAAGAAAAAACAAACAAATACTGTTGGAAAGAAAAAATTATATATAGGATCAAGTTTTACTTTTACTTTTCAAAACATTTCTTATCATTTTCTCACTTCAAAATTAAAGAAAACAAGCCTAATTGGCAGCTCATTTTACAATTTTATTAAGAAAAACTTCACAAGGGACGACATTTTATCACTTAATCGATTACAAAGTTACGGAACTACGTCTGAATATCGCTAACGTTTTATTATGATAATAGGCCGATCACAAATTTAACCGTTTTTTGAGGTTCATACAAAATTTCATAATTGTGAAAATCTATTTGACTTAGAAATCGTCATAAGTTTATGCTTTTCTTCATGCATTGGTTTATACACCCATCATTAAGACATACATAGTGTATTAGATCATACGGAACTTTTAGAATATTCATTTTATTAAGAAGGCCCCAATCCTGTTCCAAACAAGTACATTTTTCATATACATAATTACCACGTTTTATAATTATTAACTATTAAAGCTTGGTAAACTCACATAATTCAAAATATATAAATATGTAATTATAAATTTATAAGCGTATAACCGTATCAAAATTGATTTTTTTTCTTCTTAACTCGTTTCGGCACCCCTTGAACATATCCAACGAACTTACCTGAACCATTGCAGCTGTTCGTTCCCAGCAAGACGACAAGCAGCAGCATAACCCAAAAATTTCGTCTATTGCTGGAAATTGCTGCGCCCGCTCTCGATTGCTTAAATGTAAACAAACGCCGCTCTCTTTCTTCCATTTTGCTTTGTGTGTTGTAGAGATCAATTTTTATAATTTTTATAATTTGACTATAAATTCCTACTTGTTGTGCAATAATTTATTTTTACAACAATTTTCAATAGTAATTTTCTTTTTTTATCAATTTTACCATATATACGACGATTCACATTTTTTGTTTACTTTTCAGCTTACATGTTGATAAACAATTAAATACTTCAATGCATAATAATTTGATATGGCAACACTTCGTTAGAAGCATGATCGCATAGAATGAGAAAGGCGCAAACCATTGAGGTGCCTGCGAAAAAGACGTTACTAAAACAGCAGACACAATTGCACTCAAACGTTTTTATGGAGACACACCTGCACTAGCATTTTTTGTTACTCAGGTAAGAGCCAAACGATTGCCGATCGTGTTGAACTCGGTTTTTATATTAAACACGATACACAGTAAAACAAAGCAATAATTAATCAGATTTTTGGCCCTTTTTTCTTGATTTCCACTTCATATTTGTGCAAAACTTGTTTTGTGTACGAATTCAAACAGAAGTTGATTTAAACACATTCACATTGCATTCATTTTGTGAGTAGCTGTGATAGCAAAAATCAATTCTTAATTCTTGACTAATTTACATATATTTTTAATGCACATATAATACTTCAGATTATTTATGCTTAAAGCGCACATTATTTATGCTTTTTCAAAAATCACTGCGCTTGGTTAGAAATTTATTGGAAACAAAACACATTTCATTATAACAAACGGCGAACACTCCAACCACTAACCGAACCAACCACTCAAGACAGCGTACGAAATCAAACTAAAATTGTCTTACCAAAATGCTCGAAACCGGTATGTTTTCACTCAAACCATTGGTGAAACTTTCTTAGTCGTTGTTGAAATTTTGTTAAAATTTTTTAATTGGACATGCGCACTCTAGTGAGCAGTAGAAAACATTGACAGCTCAGAGCAACAAGTTGCTGTTTGAATTGAGTGCACTTTTTTAGTAGTTTTCTTTGAATTTAATCAGCTGTTAGATGTCTGACCAGAAAGCGGTAATGCCAATGAGTTATATGCCTGCAGCTTAAGCGGAGAAATGTATGAAAACATATGTTTTTGCCTCTATTTTGAGTTGAAAATTACTACAAAAAGAGGGGTAAACACGTAAACAAAATTATGTTGCGAGTGTAAAACAAACCTTAGGGAAATGTAATGTTTACCAATTTTTTATGTGTTTTAAGAGATGTCGATACGCAGATACCAAAACATTGGTAGATAATAAAATATAATTTAAAAAATGTTTCACTGAATGAAACTATGATTATCACAATGAACTTCAAATCCCAGTTACCATAATTAACATATCCAGAAAATAGTTGTCAAAAGATTAAATAGACTTAAAAGACTGCCTCCACTGCACCCACTGTGGTCTCTACAAAGTACTTCTGACAATATATGAGTATATATTTCATATATTTTATATATCCGCAACAAATTTGTCAAGTTATCAAATTTTCAAATATGCCTTATAGATCCGTCAACCTAAGTATAAGATCCATTATTGGTGATCATACGTTTTTCAGGCTAAATCAAGACATTTTTTTATCTCAAAGACTCAATTTATTCAAAAGTCATATTAACTCTAATAGAGCTTAGGTTTAGTAAGAAAAATACTGAGAACTAAAAATACACATGACGCATAAGCGAAAGAAGAAGTGCTACACATGACGTAGACGATGAAATAAAACTCTGTAGTGTGGATTCAATTCTGCAATACATAGAGAAAATTGAACATGGGGAAATGCTCTAAATTCAATAAAGGGGCACAATAGATCTCTAAGACGCAATGTAAATCACCCAACACAATAATAATATCTTGAATATTTTTGCAAAGTCATCAAAATCTGAAAAGGTGTTCATGGATGAGAAATACATATAGTATTTTCATATAACACGTCATTGCTAATGTGATTATAAGAGATAAGAAAGAACTTGCAGTTCAGACTCTACATCTATATTGGTTCTATAATGTTGTCATACAACTCGTCCACAAATCTTATCAACGAAGAAAGGAAGATTGTAATAGAATAACAACTTAGAAAGAACAATCTCAAGTCAAATCCGGACCCGAGAGACTTCGTTGTTAGAACTCTCAGATAATAGTCTGCATTCGTCGTCTGATATTTTGTTAGAAATTGATTATAAACTCTATTCTATTTGAATTTGAATTTAAAATTCTATTTGAATCAAAGAAGATGTTCGGTATTGTCTTAATTTGGTTCTCCTGAAATTTTGATAGATATTTTTCTTTCTTTTGGCTCTTCTGGTAATTTCTTGAATTTTTCTCATAGCATTTGATTTCTGACAATGGTGCTGGGTCATCATGTTCAATTAAAGTGACATTAGATAAAATATCAAATCGCGGCAAGATTTTGTTTAATTTTTTAAATTATTAATGAAACCAGATTAAGTGCATACAATTCATCGACCACAAGTTAAGTTAAGAAGAAAATCAAGGGATTAACAAAATTGAGGTTCGAAGGTATATTATTAAAAATAAATATGTTATAATAAAAAAATCAATTTAAATTTACTATTTACAAGTACTAGAAGAACTATTTGGATCTTAATGCACTTTGCCATTACTCAAAGTACTCTATCGTATTTTTCTTCATTTGAAGTTTATTTATAAGTTTATATAAGTGGTTTTGTTGGTTGATCCCCCAGAAATGTGGTATTACCGCTTATTATTTTGCTTTAGGCTAAGTTTTTTTTTATTCACAAGTAATTTTACAATAATAATGATAAAAGTTTGACTACTTACTTCTTATTTGCTCTCTCTCCTTCGTTCTGCCTCTCGTTCGTTGTCATTTTCTGTCAGTGTTGCCCTTTGCCGTCTTTAAGTCAGTGTTGCCTTGACAAAGGGTTGACCATCGTTAATGTGTAGTCACCATTCCTATATATAAGTAATTATTTTTTAACATTCAAATCTTCAAATGGCGGCAGAAGCAGTTGTGGTTTGTTTTTATCGAACATAAATATTTCATGGTCCCATAATTTCCACCAGGTTCTTATAATTCTTAATACCTGTAAATACATGCATTTGAAATGCTTATCATATCCTCATAAAGTCATCTCCTTTCTCGCCGCAAAACTAGAAAACTGCGCTTCTATTGCTTTGCTTTAATGTTAGCTCATTTCAATGAACGAAGCATACAAGAGTTGCACTGATGAAGAGGCGACAGAATCTACAAAACACTTTCTGTGTCTTCGCCAAAGACTGTAAATGAAGCAGTTTCAACGTCTTAGACACTATTTCTCTACTGGGCTAGCCGAGATAACAAAGGTAGACTCATCACATCTCACTAACATTAACTCTCATGTATATTGATACATATGTATATTAAATATAAGACATAATTCCAAGACCACTGATGATGTGTATTTGGCAATACTCGAAACAGCTGTTTGGTAAGATTCGATTGATGTGATCGAAAAAAATAGTTTATGTTATGTTTCAAGACCACTGATGATGTGTATTTGGCAATACTCGAAACAGATGTTTGGTAAGATTCGATTGATGTGATCTAAAACAATACTTTATGGGAACGATTTAATTACTTTCGTTAAAACGGACGTTAAAAACGTTTAATCATAATATATATGTATATGTTTCAATAGAGTTAAAAATATATATGGTCGATCAGACGAAAGCCAGTATGGCTTTCCGTCATTTCTGCGTTGAAAGTGCGGTCGCTGAAGAACATCTTAATTAGTATTTGGATTAAAAAAACATTTTCGTAGAAAAATTGTGTGAATGAGGTAGTTCTGGAAGTTATGAATGAAATTAATTTTGCTATTGAACATCTTGAATAAGTACGTACAGTTTTCTGAACCCAGACTGGGTCGTCATAATACGTGTTGAAATAATTTTTAATGTTTAATGTCCCCACTTTGCAGTGATGTTTGCTCTTTAAATGTTTAAATTGTTTTGAATTTCGCAATATAAAATAGTCCGCATTGAATATTCAAACACTACACAAAGTGTACTCAAATGCACTCTCTAATGCGAATGCAGTTGAAATATTTAATTTATTTATATAATTCGATTTCATGCATTTTGTATTGCATATTCGAACGATATTTGTTTGGATATCATTAGTGTCATTTTATAAGCCAAATCTAAGTGCTAACACCCAGCCCTATCCATTCCTGCCACAAACGCGGCTGCATGTCAAGGATTTGTATAATTCGAAAGCGAAGCTTTCGAAAGAAGGATGTTCACCGCTATTTTTGGCTATGTTACTCGTATTACAAAATTAAGCTACTCTGCTAATTATGCATTATGCATTTATGCATTCAGTTTAAACTCCAATCCCATACCAGAAATAGTTCCACATGCAATAACCACAAACACATATATTGAAAATACGCGCTAATAACGCCCAGCAGCAAAAAATATTATCTGATTGAAAAGGACGAAATTTTGTCTATTTGCTTAGCGCTAAATTGGATAGATTTCATTTGGAATTTCCGAAATTTGACTGATGTCAAAAATATTGACGTCGAAAGAATGAATCCGCTTAATGTGTTTACTGCATTGAAATCTGATAACGAGAGTTGCCTTTCGTTCCTTGCAATTTTGACCGATGTTTCAGTAGAGAATTTCAAACTATAATCTACTTTTTTTGGGCAGTGAAGGATTCCTTGGAAGTGGCAATTCTGAAAGTGTTTGCTCTGGAAGGCTGTTTCCAAATTAGCTGTAAAGGGCACATTGGCAATAGAAAAATCGGTTGGAATGGCAAAAAAATGAGAGTACCCGATATGCAAATCCTTGAATTGCGTGGCGCATGCAAGTGAGTTTTTTGTGGGTGTGGGGTTCGCGGCCATTTCTGAATCGAAAATCGTGCGATAAAAATTAAAATTTTAAAATTGTGAACAAAAGTTCATATTGACTGAGTGCAGTTAATACTTAAACTGTAAACAAATATTTGCTGTAATATTTTTGAAAAATATTTCCATAAATTCATGCCAAGCAAAAAGTTTGTTCTTTAAGTTCATTTGGACATACATTCCAGCAACACTCATGTGGCTGCAAAA